TGTGTGATGTCATCGTCACAATGTGTTTTTAAGTACTGATTTGTTTGTATTGAGCCATATGATATTTGCCCTGTTGAAGGTGCGATAGTCCCCGAGCCGGTAGGCAACTCATTTAATGGCTGGTCCATTCTTTTATTAAAGGACCTTTTACTTTTTACCTTAAATCTTGGTGTGTAGCCTGTCTTTCCATTGTTTTTATCCTGCTTTTGCTGTCGACGGAGCACCACCTGCACATCACCGTTCAGTGTGAGCACCTGTGCACCTGCCAATCTGGTCTGTATCTATAATTTTATAAGCGCTTTAGAAATTGCAGAGCTAATTTTTGGATTAGCGCTGCCCACCACAGGCAATGACTTTAAAAACACATTTCTTTTATTTAGAGCAAGGTGTGTCTGCTTTGTTACAGGCCTACAGCCCCTCTGACTGGATCAAGTTAAATACAGAAGGGTTTTCTTTCAACTCTTATAAATTTCTTCAATATTGAACTGATAAACGTTTCACTTGAAATGCAAACTGCAACACATTCAATAGAGTATCGATACTGGTATTGGTATCCGCCCCCGAGTATTGAGGTAGTACTTGCAAAAATACTGTTATCAGGACCAGGGTTCCCACACCTTGGTCAACATCAAATTCAAGGAACTTTCCAGGACTTTCCAGTACCAATTTCCTTAAATTCAAGAACCATGCGCAACGGCAATTACCTACTGCTACCACAGAATGTTACCAYTAAACAGGTTTAATATCAWGKAAATTCAATGAAAAACTGAACAACACAGAAACTGTTGAGTCAGAATCATTGAAAGAAAGTGGATTAAATGTTTACCCTACATTCATGTCCACAATGCATGGACAGGTTCAGCAGCTCAGTTTGGGAGGAGGGGATGTGAAAATGTCCAGGAGGAGCTGTGGTGTTCTCAACTGGGCTCAGAAAGAAAGACCCGCCCTACTCTGCTCTGATTGGATAAAACTATGACTATGGCTCACGTTATTTGTTGAAAGCTACGCCTGTTTACCACAATCCACCACAACAAATGCAAGTTTTTTTTATTTTATATATTTTTTACAGATGATAAAAATCAGTTGTGTGAATAGAGAACTTCAACCCCTAAAAAAATATTCAAGGACTTTCAAGGACAAGTGTAATTTTTGGCTGTTTTCACAAACTTTCCAGAGCCTTGAAATCATTTTTTCAAATTCACAAACTTTCAAGGATTTCAAGGACCCATGGGAACCCTGCGGGACACAAAACAACAATGGAGGCAACTTCCTGTCCAACGGTGGATCTAAAATTGTTGAATAAAAACAAGAACTTGTAGGACTTGCAGACACCTTGCGGGACCTTTTCAAGCACATGTGGGTATTTGTTGGTGTGTGTGTGTGTGTGTGTGTGTGTGTGTGTGTGTGTGTGTGTGTCCACGGTGTGTTGACAGCTCACCACATGTGGTACAGGGATGGGCTGTGGGGCCATGGGCGCAGGGCTCCACTGGGTGGTCGACATGGTCTTATTTTGCCAGTTTTGACCACCGGTTAGCTTCTTCTCTCCGGGTTGGCTCCACTGCATGTCTGGTCTGTGACAGAAGAACAGAAAGAACTCCTGAGCGTTTTTAACTTTACACCAACAAAACACAAAGAGACTATCACTTTATGTATTTACAGTTGTTTTTCTATTGTACAGTGTCCTTTGGTGTCTTGAAAGGCGCTTTATAAATAAAATGAATAATAATAATAATAATAATAATAATAATAATAATAATAATAATAATAATAATTATTATTATTATTATTATCATTATTAAAACTTATATTTAAGCCTGGCTTCAATATTAGCTGCAAACTGCACCAGTTGGAGGTGGGTGGTGGAGAAAAGGATGCTGAACAAACTGTCTATAACAGACCAGTCAGAACATCCTGCCTGCTTCTCAGTGGATGGACAGCAGAGCAGATTTGCTAACAGACTGTTAAATCTCTGCAGTCGCAGCAGCGTTACAGGAAGTCTTTCCTGCCTCAGGCCTTCATACTGTACAACAACATGTCACCTCTGACTGTAGTAAAGGTTGCATTTGTTTGGTACAGTCTGAATCAGGTTTTAAGCCATTTTCTGCAGATTCATACATTTGCACGATGCAGTTTCTATGAAGTAAATCTGCTTTAATTTCATCCTTTTCAGTCTGATATATTATTTTTGTTTATTGCTGCAACAAAAAAAATCAGAATAATGAGGGGATTAATAAATGACCTTAACTGACCTTCACTGCTTTTATAAACATTATCAATAAAACCTAGCACATGAAATCCACTCAAATATTTTTAAAGCTTTATACAAAAAAAAAGGAAAAGAAAAAACTCTTCCCCTATTGGCAGGATTCTTGACAACTTATTCCAGGTTAACACGGCAAGATAATTATGCAGAGTTTTGGCCCGATTTTGCCCTTCCAACCATCGGTTTGGGAAGCTACACGACAGAGGAGCAGGGAAAGGAGGACGGGGAGAGGTGGCGAACTTATACTGTAGAGCGGGTTGGGAAATGGTTATGTCATTTTAGTTATTGGTTGTTTTGTTTTGCCTCTTACTGAGAAGTAAAACAAATTTGAAGCGTAGTTTTTGAAAAAAATCTGTAACATTACCTGCAAAATGGGGAGGAAAGGCATCAGAAAGTCCGGTGGAAATCAAGAAATCTTTTTTTTCTCTAGTAAAATGGTCCACAAACCATCACCATTAATTCTTCGTCTGCCATGTTTATTCACTCTGAACTCACGTTTGATCTGAAAGGTATTCTGAGATTTCCTGTCTGACATCTGAATGTTCGTGAGTAAAATCTGTTTGTGTGTTGTATTTAAGCCACACACTAAGATCAAATCTTTTATATCTGTGATTTTTATCCTCATATGTGGTCTCAGTCTTTGAAAATCAGCAGACACTTTTAAAACCTCGCCATGTGAACCAGGCAAGGAAGCTCATTTAGTCAACATTTAAATCAGGAACCTAAGTCTTACAAGTTCAGAAACTTACTTCTTGGCTGAGGTTCCAAACTGCAGATCTGAAGAATAGAGGAAACAGATGTGAGTAAACGTAAAAGAAAATCTGAAATAAAAGTCAAAAAAAAAACACATCTTCTCATCAGTAATAACATCAATTCTTCCATTAGACTTAAATGGTCAAAAACAGCTTTGAGTGTGCTGCTTTATAATAACTGTGTACATTGTGCCTTTTAAAAGTCCAATTAATAATCAAGTCCTGCTGTTGAATGTAATGTYTTACTGTTCCAACTGCTGAACAGATATTCCACCATGTTTTTTTTCCCCTCGTGTTCACACATTCGTGAGTGTCAACACTCACTGCCCACGAGGTTGGCCAGAGAGGAGTCGAGGTCGTTGGCGAGCAGCTTCCCTCCGGGATGGATGGTCATCTGAGGAGGAGCGGCAACAGGAGGTGGGGCGATGTGTGCAGGAACTGTAGGCTTTAACAGCTCTCCCAGAGCATCAAAACCTGGACCAGAGAGAGAGAGAGAGAGAGAGACAGAGACAGAGACAGAGACAGAGAGAGAGAGAGAGAGAGAGAGAGAGAGAGAGAGAGAGAGAGACAGAGACAGAGACAGAGACAGAGAGAGAGAGAGAGAGAGAGACAGAGAGAGAGAGAGACAGAGAGAGAGACAGAGACAGAGACAGAGACAGAGAGAGAGACAGAGAGAGAGACAGAGAGAGAGAGAG